AAACCCAAAGCTAATGCTCAGTAATTTGCCCGAAAGGCTCGCCCCCACAAAGTCACGGTCCGACAACTCACACAATTACACGGGAATGAGCAAATAATTATAATCTAATTAAGGAGTCGCCGACCAAAAGCTACGATGGACGTGACAAGCCGTACACTGCCGGAAGGACGAGTTTTCATGCACCAAGGTCAAACGAGTTGCCTAACTGTTGAAATCAAAGATCAGTCTGGGTCCTGGAATTGCGAAAATGCTCAAACACCTTGCATAACTCAATATTAATGGACCGCTGGAAGCATTGAGCCTCTCGGTTCTCCAGGGGTAGCTTGCTCAGATGGGGATGAGGTAGGGGACTGATTAGGGCAAGCAAAGGGATGAGGTGAAAGAACCAGTACAATCCCAAAGACCAGAACGAAGGGGAGGGGGAGGGGAATGGGAAGAAACCATCCAAGATAACCGTTCTTCCAATCTCCTTTCAAACTATCTTTTCATCTGGCCTTCCTACTGAAATCAGCTTCTAGCCGCTGAGTGTTCCCTTCAAACAAGGGTGACACTGGGAGCTCCTGAAGGTTGGTTAGGTACCGATTCAGGTGGAACGTTATTTGATACCGTAACTTCTAGGGGACCTAATATAGGACGTGAAAGTACCAGAAAAGGTATAATTGGCATAAATGTATTCCGGGTAATTGAACGATAACCTAGACCTTTTGATGTTGCTGTGTAAATTGCTCCAATGAATAAATTGGGAGACGGAGACGGGATGGTTGTGGTTGAGTGGTCGCGTATAATGCCTATGGTTGTCGGTCTTGGAAGCATTGTTCCATGCGTAGCCGTACATTCGATCCGAAGAACAATTAGACCACAAATTCTTGCATAATGACAGTTTTTCATGCATGACCGAACACACTTAGTGGGGTTGAGTAAAGTAGCCTTGGCCATAGAAAGGCCACAGAATGATTCCAGCAGGAGGAGTCAACCAAAGCATTGAGAGGGTGGGATTGGGACATTACCAAGTGTTCAAGGGCCGGGAGAAGTTCAGCGAAAAGGCAGTAGTCAAGGACAGCCAGAAAGAGGCTGAGAACTTGAAAATTAAAATTTGCAGAAATCAAAATTTCAAGGCTGATTTTCCCAGAGAATCCTACCGTAGTCTCTTGAAAGTGATAGAAAATCAGAAGTACCGGGAAAAATGGAAGTCAGAAAATCAAAGGATCTGGGACATCCCTTGAAGGAACTGATTGAAGCCAACCCTTCAAAAAAACTTGTTCGAAAGGCTTCATAGGCGTTCTGGAAGCCCCAGAAGGGAGAAAACCCGAACTAATAGCAGTTTCTGAGCATCAAGTAGGTTTTGCAGCAGACCACCAGAGCTTCGAGAAGAGGGCATAAATTTTGAATATGTTCCCACGGAGGGTGAAATTTCATAAAAACGTCCCAGAACGGAAGAGAAAATCCTGGAAAAATTACTGGAATACGAGCCAAGAAAACCCCTTCATGGCTTACTTCTCACTTTTTCCCAAATTTCACATAAACTGAAAATGGCCTAAAAATAGAAATCGCCAGAGAGCTCCGGCTTCGACTTTTAAAGTGATTTCAAATTTTAGAATAAAGTAATAAAAAGTAGCCAACCTCATGCTGAAAATATTATGGAAGGAAGGTGAGGTAGAACATTCAATGGAAGAAATGGAGGAAAAAGAAAAAAAGAAATGATTGATGAAAAGAAATCAGCTCGAGCAGAAAATAACAGAAATGTCAGTTTTTTTTTTTTGGAAAAGAAACATGGCGCTCGGCGCTAATTGAAAGGGGAGGAACATGGCAACAAGCGGATGCCGCACGGAATGAGAAAGTAAACGATTTTTATTTGTTATTTAAAATTAGAAACCCATGATATGCCACTACTGTCTTACCTACGGTTCTACAATCTGAGTGAAGTACTCAGGAAAGCAGGCGTAGATTCAATATAGTGGCAAGTGGCGCACTATCACACACGCATGGTCACGGGTTCGAATCCCAGGTCGATAATCCGCTTAGGCCATCCAAGTGTTCCATCCTTTCGGGGCCGGTTAACTGGTACCAGGCTCTCTGGGAGGATAAAAGCACTGACTTGTACTCGACTGGCCACCAAGTCATTGAGTAGGCCATGTACGCATTCAATACGCCACTGCGATTCTGAGTGGGAGTCGAATGCGGGACCCATCCCAGAGGAGGATCGATTAAGTCTCAAGACTTTATACTTTATCTTCTATGATCAGGAAAACAGTTCGCAACTAAAAAAATAAAAGTGAAAGTGAAAAGCTCTTGAAAACGGATCAAACTGAGACGCATTGCATCAAAATATGGAAAAATATAATAACTTCTCGGAAGAAATCTGAAGAGGCGTAAAATGGATTCGATTAAGGCTGTTGCTGTTTGTGACAGGCCACTTTACAGATGTTTTCGTCATGGGGAGCGCTAGATAAACGCCAGAAAAGGTGTACAAATAGAGAGGAAATCCAAATTTCCTGTTGATCTCTTTAGTCGGGAGGAAAAAGGAAATTCATCGCGCTTAAGAGTAAGTGAAGCCCATTATACGGTTGTTCATAGATGATTGATTCTATCGAAAGTCAGTGAGGAAAGGAAATTAGAAGATCAGCAACTTAACGAAGTACTAAGAATGAAACCCATTGGCTTTGCTTGGAACCGCCAACCTACTTTGAAAGGTCACTGAAATTACCATTGTATGGCCTCAGTACTGGTCACATCCTATAAAAACCAAGGAGAATTTGTTCGGCTATACAAAATATCTATGATTCCATAAATGTATAGTGAATGGGTAGAATAATTATTTAGATCGCCTCCTTCTTTCCCATCCTCTCGGTCCTTTCCCACATAAACTTTATGGCCTACAACTTAAAGACTGACTCATCATCTTGTCCCCACAAGTGGGATAAACAGCCATAATTGCATGGGTCTCACTAGGCAATCAAACATAAGCGGACTGGGTCTTTTTCCCGGTGCATTTCCCTTTCTCTCGACATCTGGACTGGACCTAAGCAAGTAGTTGACATCAATCTGTACAGATAGGTTCGAGTCCGGAGAAGGTGGGCGGATGGATGGCTGCCGATCGAATTGAGAGGGATCTGCCATGCACTCATCTCCTTTCAGGGTTGTGGCATTGGTTGGGATCTTAAGGCTTACAATGGTTCGGTCGATAAGTGACGGGCCTCGAGGCATACTCTGATACAACGTAACAAACTTTTACCTTCAATTTGCTTCGATATGCCTTTTAGAGGCGGCAGATCGTTAGAAGTGGGTCGAGTAAGTTACCCGGGTTCCCCAGATCGATGACGTCACCAGAAACTATTCAAAATCGTATTTTACGATCAGTACGAAAACTAAAGGTAAAGAAAAACAATGGAGGAGGAGCCGGCATGACGGCTTTCCTGGGGGTATCGTTAGCGTTTACGGATTGCCGCATATCATGGACCGTGGCATGCAGCTCTAATTCAATTCACACTCGTTCCGACTCGCTCTCCCAATGGAGATTGGGACGAACGTAACGACGTAACGTAATCGTTGTTTTTAGTTCTGAAACGAGATCAGAAGAATCACTCTTTGACCCCAGAAGAGTCTAAAAATAGACGACGACGGAATTATACTTATTCTCAAACTTATTATTAAGTCCTGCCCTTGTACGGGCTCAAACAAATTCTACATTGCACAAATAGTTCCTCTGTACTTTTTTGTTTCAAAGAATGTTCATGGCTCGACTGGAGGGCAAGTATGGGATTTGGGACAGATCCAAGCGACGCACTACCACTCCCATGACCCGAGGATCGGATTTAGAACTGACACCCGACCCGGCAGCTGAGCGTTGCATCTTCCTGGGTCGGTATCGGACTGGTCTGGGAGGATAAAAGCGCTGACTTGTACATCGGCTAGCCACCCAATTCATTTTCAGGTCACATATGCATTGAAATGTCACTACAATTCTGAATAGAAGTCGAATGCGGAGCGCATTTCACAGAGTGGATTGATCAAAGCCACAGACTTTGTCCTTTATCCAAAGGTCTAAACAACAGGCAGTGAACTTTGTTATTAGAACCAAGCCAACCCCGCCATGAATGATGCAACTATTTCGAGATGGCGCCTCATCTTGGAAGGCCCATCACTTAACGACTAGTGCTTCTCAATCACAGCACGCAACTCTTCACAGCAGGCCTGGGTAAGAAAAAAAAGTGGACGGACCGACAGATTATCCTTTTCTTCAGCTTCAAGAGGGAAAAAAGTCCTAAGTGGTCGCAAGGGTGGTAGGGGAGAGAAAAATTCTGATAGAGTGGATCAGAGTGGCACAAATGGATCTGATAGAGTGTTTATTTGTATTCCGGCTTTCTCTATAAGTGGCGATTGAAAGCACTTTTAGTATTCTTCCCTTTCCACACCTCTACCATGGTAATGAACTGTGTGAGATAGTGTGGCATTCAAGGAGAGAGCCAGTCTTCAACCATGTATATAAACCGAAGCCCGATCAGGTGGCCGTTTTCATAGCAGTGCCATTAGATCGGCAGTGCTCCGAACAGCGTCCCATTTTCTTTCTAGCATTCGCTCATTGCTCCCACATCATCAACGTCCGAGGTATGGCCTGGATGAAGTCGTTCAAGGTGACGCGAAATGGATTTTGGTGAAATTCGTCGTCCCTGTAGCCAATGGCATACACATTTGGACAGCTCGTCCAAATACCCTTCCATGCAACTTTTGCCGTCGCATCCTCGCCCAATCTCGGATTTACTAATTTTTTTAAAGCCTTATACTTCTCTGAGTATACCGATTTTCACGTTTTCCTTGCCATTTCTATCCTATCCTGGGCTCTTACTTCCATTATCCGTCGGAAACTAGATATCTCAAAACTACCGTGAACTGTGTCTCCGATCCTGCTTCTGCTCACTTTTTGACGCTAATGCTGGAGATGCCAGTAATGTTTCGGAAAATCTTCCAGAAGCTTTAGTTCCTTACAGGTAGCAAGGTCAGCGATGGTACAGTACTTCTCTTTGATTACGGTACGTGATTTTATTTACTAAGGTGTGAAACTACTATTGTTTTCTGGCGCACATCGACCAGAAGTAATACTTCTCAGATTGCTTTGTTGGTGCTCTGTTCGGTCATCCTCAATGTCGATGCATCATTGTGAGTTGTTTTTTTGAAGAGTTACATTGCCGCTGAAATGCATTTCAGAGAGACTATGCACTGAAAAAGGTGCTTAGTAGCGATTGTAGTAGTAAAAACTGCGGGAAAGAGCGTTTTCTATCACTTCGCTTTCCTCATTGTCGACAGATCTCAACTTTTACGTTGTCGTTTCAGGCCACGGTTACCAAGGGGAAAAGGATGCATGAATGGAGGAGGGTATTTTGGGTGAACGCATACTCCGATGACTACATGCATCTCAGTTCCACATGTTGAACTGTTAATGAAACTTCTAAATAGATATATTGTGTGGAATAAATTTGCTCTTTCTCTCTCTTCCTTAAACTGAAAGTCGTTGGACAAACTAAAAGACCAGGCTCCAAGTATTGTTGCGTCTGACAGAAACTGTTACGAAATGAACCACCGCAATAGAAAGGGATCGATTTACGCTATTCCAACGGGTATGACTTAATTAAATGGTCGGAGGTGGTATGGTGGCAAGTGACGTACTATCACACAACCATGGCCACGGGTTCAAATCCCGGATCGATATTCGTCTAATCGTCCAACCAAGCATTCATCTCTCCGAGGTCGAGTAATTGGCAAATGACCCGTCTGGGAGGATAAAAGCCCATACTTGTACATCGGCCAGCCACCCAATTCATTCTTCAGATCCCGTACACAATGAAATGTCGCTACAATTCTGAATAGAAGGCGAATGCGGAGCGTATCCCACAGAGGGGATTGATTAACGCCAGAACTTTTGTCCTTCATCCTCATGCTTATAACTATAATAATTATAAATTAAATTTAAAAGTAAATAGATCATCAATAGCCATTTTAAAATTCTCCGACACCTCCCATTGAAAAGTAACGGTTTTCGAAGAAAAGGACCTGCAAAGCGAGAACATTCCAGGAGGATTCTTACCGATAAAAGCAATATATAGCAGCAGTTTCATATGCTCCGATTTCACAGAAACCCAAGGCTTCAGACGAAAAAAAAAGTCTTCATTCTCATAAGTGCACTTTACTTCTGGGAATTCGCCGTGAATTTCTGACGAAGCTTAGATAATCCTCTGTTGAAAGCGGTTTTCACGAGGTTTGTTGCTCTCGGTTTGCGAGCCAACAACGATTTCCGAGGGAGAGGATGTTGAATGGCCATCGTAGAGTCTTTGATCGATGGTCCTTCTGACGGCGCCCGTGTTTCCAATGGATCCGACCATCTGATTGATTTATTTTGACGATTTGGTTTTGATTTAGAAGTCGGTGGCCTGAAGGGAGCTAGGAATTAGCACCATTTGAAAGGGGATCGGGAGGGTGATCATTAACATTTAAGATGTTTGGTCTTGAACGAGACCACAAGCCACACTACTCTTTCCGGAACAACATATCTACTGAATCAGGGAGACATAAGCTCCGAGCGGCTCAGTTGGCACCAGATTTGTCTGGGAGGATGAAAGTCCTGAGTTGCACATCGACTGAGCCTATTAAGTTTTGCATAGGCCGCATAAGCGTCCAAATACCGCTGAAATTCTGAGTGGAGGTCAAAGCAAAGGCGCATTCCAGAAGAGGGACCCATCTAACTCTATATTAACACTCTTTTGACCCATTGAATTGCTTGTATAGGTCAGGACAGGCCTTCTAAATAGCGCTATGCCACATTTCCTCAGAGGAATCTCTAAAAATGGGAGAACCATTCATTTTGACGTCTGACAAGTTGGGGCCGAGCTTAGGAATCAGAAATGAAAGAATAACTTGCAAATGACGTGAAGGCGTTATACTGACGTCATTGAGGAAGCCATCTTGAAAAATAGAAGTCATTTTTCATTAAACGCCTAGGGAAGAAGGAAAACTGATTTACATGACAATGTACTATGCTAGCCCATCCCTCCAATCAGTTGAAACAAGATATTAGATGGAAATCGAAGTAGAGATGGAATTTGAGGGTTAGGCATAGCATTTGGTCCCAGTGCTCCAACACCTACTCTTGAATGGACCTGTACGTTTTCAGATATACTCTTGAAATTTCAAAACCAACGAAATCCTTCCTTCCCTGCCTCGAAACACAGGGTTCTCAAACGCATGAGCTATTTCTGATAGCAGTTTTGTGATGTGAACGGTCAAAAATGAGAAAAAGGTTAAAGCGCTTTGTTCTGAGGGACCTTTCCTTAAAATCTGATTCACATATGAAATCCCCTATAGTGAAAGTGACAGCGTACTATATGACCCAGCCAATGGTATTCGAGGGTCAATCAAGGTGAAAACCAACTCTTTCATTTCCTAGACAGATATGACACCAAGGTGGGAATCAGACTACCCATCTGCGGCTCGATCTGGTCCTTGTGCTCGGGATCATGATTGCGATCCCAATGAGAGTGGTAGGAATGGTTTTGGAAGTCTGGAGTTGGGAGACTTCCAGAGCCATCCCTACCACTCTCATTGAAATCGCAATCAAATACAGGCACGGTAAGGTAGTGAGTGTTGATTGGACCTTCACAAAAGTTCATTTCTTGAAAGAAATTTTGCTCATCAATGCGTAAGAAACTCACTGATACTCTCCCATGCCACAACGGGGCAGCTTCTTCATGATATGCTTCGTATCCCAACATACAAACAGATGAGTATCGAGTAGGTAATTTTTCCAAGCTGATTGAACCTGCCATTGGAGACTTAAATCAAATACAGAAACATTTCGATTCATTGTCTCTTCATTATAGAATACTTGACATGTTGAAATGAAATAATCAAATAAATAAATAAACAAGAAAATTGTTGACCCAAGTGCTACCGACGAAAAGGGACCTTAACAAACTAAGCGAACATCTTGCAGGTGAGGTTCAAGCTCAGGAGAAGGCGACCATAGTGTGGTGCCTGCTCGAACAAGTTGCCATCGACTTTTCATGATCTGTCTGTGATCGCCCGGGTTCCAGCCGTCTCGCAGCCGAACACCGGGCATTGTCATCTTTACCTATTGCCAACTCCAACCACTTTTTCCCCATCTCTGTTGGAATGTGATGGCTCTGAGCCTTCAGAGTTACTGATAGCTATTACAACCTCCTTCATATTCCGACATGGTAGTCTGCTCTGTCAAGGAGAGGAGAATCAACGTGAGTAGGTTCTTTACGCTTTCTGTCCGTGGTTCACTTGTTTATCCATTGATCTAGTTTAATGAATAGTTAAACTTATACATGGAGAATTTCGGTAATTTTCTTCGCTGGTGGTGCGAGAGCATGATCCAGGGTTGTTTCCTTCTCGTCTGCAGGTGCGATGTGTTGGTAGGGTGTGGGCAGCCACATGGGGTACCGATAGGGAACACAGGTTATTCATACTGGTGGTTTTACTTTATACTTCCTCTCACAAACTTTTGAAAACGTCTTTTTGTATCAAAGGGAACATCGAGTTCATCCATTCACCATGACCCCAACGGATCATCTCTTTCACATGTTTCCCGACCACTTTTCTTTTTAGAGAGCAAGAAGTAGCCTCTCTCTATTCGCTCGATGGAATCATTGAAAACTATTAATTCGACATTGACTCTTCGTTCATGAGCCTCTAAAGAATACGATCTGATCAAGACGTTGAATCGAATTAAAACAGTCTCATCTGACAATCTTTCTGTCAGGAGAATAAGAGCTCTCACGTTTGGCTCTGGCTTTACGAAAAAAGAAGCTGGGAATTCTCTGGTACTGAGGAGAGAAGGAATATACCTCAGAGGTTCCGAATTTCTTCATGTACGAGTTTAGAGCGTCAAGGTCTTCTCTAGATATGAATGCCCGTCGGACGCAATTCAGCAGTTCTGTGCACTGTTCTCTAGAATATATCAATGAATGGAAATCTTTCGCTGTAAAAAAAANAAAAAAAATCAACGAAGGATAAGATGTTTAAACGGTTATCAATACCGTTCTTGTGATGCGCCCCGCCTTCGATTCTCATTCAAAAGTTGATGGTTAGTGGCGTATTGAGTACGTATTTGGCCTATATTATGACTTGCACGGGCCAGTCGATCCATGAGTCACTGCTTTGATTCTTCTAGACAGATCTGGTACCAACTAACCGACTCTGTAGGAACGGAAGGCTTGGTTCGGGCGAGTATCAATTCGGGATTAAGTTCCTAGGCCATGGTTTATAGTGCGCCACTTGGAACTGCTCCACACTCCATTACATTACATCTGCACCATATCTACCATACAAAAATAATTAGCGTTGATGACCTTCTCTCTATTAGACTCGGAAAAGACAAAGCTCTCAGGGTACTACTAGTGGATACGCCATGCAATCGTCTTCTACTCGCATTTGACAGAGCTTTGGAAAGTACTTCTGGTTGCAAGCTGACATGCGTAAATCAAGAAGTATTCAGTTAGCAACCAGAAGATTTACTTAGTTGGGTAGTAACCAGTCCTACAAGGTATTTCTGTGGCGTACTAACTTGGGCGGCACTTTCATCCAAGTTGTACCTACCATACATTCCGCTGACAACTTGCACAATGCGATTCCACTATACTGTTTTGCAAAAAGCTATGGAATTTCTCCAGAAAACATTTGAAATACAATATCAGAGCTGGTCAGTAAACACATTTATGCAGAGATCAAATTTCTAGGGTGAAGAATTCAATTAAGTGTACCTCGTCGCTTTATGAAGAGATGTCCAATCGACAATGAAAAACACTAGGGATTTTTCGTTTTCAATTGCCAAATCGCATCTGAAGAAGATATTTAATGAAAGTGTTTCCAGGCTGAATTTCCCTATCCTTCCTTCCTTCTGAAGTTGTCAAAAAAATGGTGAAAAATGTTTGAAATTGTCGGCAACTTTTATTTATTGATCGATACCCATGATGTGCATAGCATAGTGAACAAAAACCTGTTTAACTAGGGTATAAATAGATTCTTTTATATATTTTATCGATTCGGTGCAATCGAGTTCGTACGATGTCCAATTCCGCGTCCTAGTACTTGGTGATCTCACTATTAGTTGCTATTACAGGTTGCGCCATTCATACGACCGTCACCCAGGATCATTTCTTCTATCGACAGTATGAGTGAATGTCTCGGAAAGCACATCAGATGTTCGATGTTGTGGCATAGCCTTGCAGGTAGGTTAAGAATTGAATAATTAGCAGGAACACCCCAGAAAATCGAAAAGTGTAAACGGCCTTAGTTAAATTCGATCCATTCATCTAACTGACAGATAGTTAACGTGGTAGGAGCGTCACTCGCCCCTTAGCCATTTATTCCACTGATGCTTTGTTGCTTGATGAACTATCGCTCATTTACCCTACAAATCCTTAGATAAGAGCGGTTGAAACTACCGGTGAAAAATGAATTAGAATGAAATTGAAATTGAATGCAGCCACCCTCTAACTTGATGGATGGATAAATTAAACTTCGAAGAAGAAGTTAAGAAGAAGCTCCGCCCCTTAACTCCAAACCCCGCCCACTTAATAAACAATTCATATAGAAAAATAGCGAT